CAAGTGCAGCTGGTTTATAGGGCTCAGCTTCAGAGAAGTCACATGACTTCCCATCGAGCAATGGAGCGAGTGGGAAGGAAAACGCATGTGATGTGAGGAAGAAGGATGGAGAAACGAGTGAAAAGAGGGTCAAGAGGGTGACACCACTGCTGCGAGGGGTTAACCCAAGGGCTGCTAAACGATTAGCACTGATGGAGGCAGAAGAAAAAATAAAGATAAGCGAGTGTTCCCGGAAATTGTCCAGGCTGATCGAGGGCTATGCAGCTGGATGAACAAAATGAGAAATGACTGAGAGAAGTCGAATGAAGGATGAGATGAATGAGTGCACACAGATAGCGGCTGCATTTGATTAATTCATACTGTTGGTCCGGTTAAGTCTGCTGTTATCGCCTCTTTGCCCCGACGAACAAAGAGCCCGTTCGTCCAGAGCACGGTACAAGAAACACCGAACATCTTCTGAACATGCAGTATCACGAGCCGCAGATCCTCTCTGAGCCTATACAGAAACAATTTTCTGGTTGCTATACTCCCTGCAGTCTTCTGCCAAAAATTTCTCTTTTTTTATTCAAGAACCAGTTCCAAAAAAAGCTGCGCAGATAATTCCTGTAAAAACAAATGAAGCAGTTTCTGCTTTTTACACGTCATTTTCAGCCACAATTACGTTCTCCTGTGTAGAACTGGTGGTATTGAGACAGGGGATGTATGAAAATCGAATAAAGACAACCAAAAGTAAGCAATACAGGCAAAACACATGCAGTTTTATTCAGATTGGGTCCCTTAGTCCCACTGAATAGAAATCGTATTGCTTAAGCTAACCGTAATAAATGAGACTCTTAGCTGCGCTGCACCAAAATGCCCATAAGCAAAATGAGTTTTCAAAGTACTGCAGCCAAAAATGGATCTCAATCCACCTGACGTGTTAGTGATAAACCAGGATAACCTGACTGAAAAATGTTGGATTGTATACCTGGATGATTGAGCATGGACTTTGTTGTTTTCAACCAGTTTGACACGACTGTCAACAAGGAAGAGACCATCTTATCACAAGCAAAACTGGTTTGTTCCACTTTGGAGTAAGCTGTTGGGGGAAGAATCAGTTTTGTTGTGTGTTTCCTTGACTGATGAAGCCTTCTGGATCGAATGTGAAACGTTTCAGCACAAAACAAGAAACTGTGCAGATGACCTGACTGAAAAATCTTGGATAAACCAGGAGTTAGCCTAAAATATCATCTGCTGAATGACCTAGGGTCATAAGTTAAGTTAGAGGTGGGCTATGATGTCATTTTTTTGTAAAACGTGGCATTTTAGTCGTCTACATTGACACAAGTTTGTTTTTTTAAGATTTTTTTCAGCCTTTGGTTTTTCAAAAACACCATTTTCATGCAGACGCAAGGTTGAAACTTCTGTCATTCCTATGTGGACGACCACTGAGGTTGTTCCATATGCCACAACAGGTAAGATATTAACTGCTCATAACCTTTCCACCGAACCCCACCATATCTGAACGATCAAAATAAATTGACACTGTCATTTAAGGTTCATCGTTTAGAAGGCTAACGTTATATTTCCAGTGATCCAGCTCAGTGGTTCATGGAATGACGAAAGGATAAGTAGCTAATTTATCATTTATGTATTGGAAATAATGTTTTTTTTACACTGAATCAGTTTGAATGCAGGCGAACTCATCACGACTTATTGAAATGTAAAGAAGCAGCACTCATAATTCTTGTAATGAAGGTTGGAGTTAAAAAATATATTGTCTCCAAGAAGCCATTATGTCATCAGTGGTCAGTAATTTAACAGATTTTGGAAGTTCCAGTATGTTGTGTGGGCAAACCTGCAACAGATATCAACATTTTTTGTGCTTTTTAAAGAGGATCAACAGTGAAACCAAATGTTCTACATCAGAAAACATAAAAAAGACACTTTCATTGCAAATGTCACAACTGCCAATGCAAAATAAAGTTTTTGTGACATGTTTATGCTGCAGAATTATCATGCATGTAGTGATTTGTTGAAGGGCTGGACTCAGAATGAAGACAGGACTCAAAGAGCTTCAAACATAAACTTTTTAAATATAAAACTAAAAGAAAAAAGGCAGATGTGGCATTCAAAAACCATATCAAACCAGGAGAATCACGAGAAGCACACAGGAGACTGGACTGTGGCGTGAGGACACACAATGCCCTGTTAATGCGAATATGGACACAGACGGAATAAACAGTGACAGTAGAACAGCGGCCAAAACTGGGGCTAGGACCCCGCTGTGGGATGCAAAACATTAATTTATGGTCCTCCAGAAATCAAATAGAATTTTAGAATGATTCCTAGTTGCATATTTTACTGTAACTGTGACAAAAGATAAAAACAGTTATTTGTAAATGGAAAAGAAATATATAATATGAGCTCATACTGTTTGTATTATCAATTAAGGTTGAACGATTTTGGAAAATATTCTAATTGCAATTTTTTTTAACCTCAATATTGCGATTTAATATGCAACTATTTTTCAATGTCTTCTTCTCACGTATTTTTCAACTAACACAATCAATAAACCAGCGGTCAGCGGACCAATTGCTCAATTTCCGCAGGAAAGAGGCACTGAATCAAACCAACATTAACACAAAAACTCCTGTCACTCAGATAAGAAGGGAACTACTCTAATGTTGCACTGTAATGCGCTTTAACTGCAATGTAAGGATACTGTCAACAGCATCAAAAGCAGCAGTAAGGTCCAGGAGTGCAAGGGTCACTGACCAGAATCATTTGCTAAAAGAATGGTGTTACAAACCATTACTAAAACTGTTTGGGTGCTGTGTAAATGTTTAAAACCAGATTGAACGATCCCAAAAATTCCATTCTCATTCAAAAACTCATTTACTTGAAAAAAAAAAAACCTATATTCTCCATAATTTAGGTCAAAATTCAGTTTAAATGAGAAGGTGAGAATAAAATGACGTCTTCGAATGTCATTAAAAAAAAAGTGTAAATCGTGTCCACAAGGCCTGTGACATGCAAAAGAGAGAAATGAAATGTAGAACGGATCTTAGTCTTGTTTCGACACCTTTACGCTAACGAGGCTTCCCATAAACACCTGTTTGTTTAAAATCTCTTATCACGGTGAAGCAACGATTGCCTCGGTGAAAGAGGAGGGGGGGAAAAGTAGAAAATGAACGTGGTGTGGGGGGGCAGAGGATGAGGGAGAGGGTCACCTCCATTCGTGAAAGAGAAGAGCTTATGCGGGATGAACACATTCGTTTATTCATTCGGCTTGTCTATTTTCAGCCCAGTGGGTTTATGGTTATTGGAAAGGCGTTGCCGTCTCGCTCCTTCCCAGAAGGAGTCAATATTTCTCCCTCTCCTTCATTTCTCCCTCTCTGCCTCTTTTTTCCACCCCTCTAATTCAATATTTTCTCCAAAACGCCACTCGCTTCCCTCCGCGCTCAGGCGAGGAATGCTGGAAGGCATCTGGAAGAAACAAAACACAAGCACAAACACACACACACAGAAAATGTGAGGCTATGCAGAGCCTGGGGGCCCACGGGGAGCCCCTATAAAACCTGCTCAGGACTTCTGTCTTATCACACATCCATGGCTTCCCTGCCTTGATGCATCTTTATCTCTCCCTCTTCACAGCTCTTGTGGGCCTCCTGAGACCAACTGTGGCCAATTTACGGTGCTGATGTTTATTAATGACTTTTAATGACGACTTGTTATGGATCATAAAACCTGGCTCTCCTTCAGCCGATAGCAACTTTAACTACAGCACGGGGGCAGCCCTGATAACACACAGAGGGACTTTTATCGAGTGATGGAAACCAGCTTGGACAGCGAGAGGATGAGGCGGGTGGGGAGCATGTAGGACGGAGGGAGGAGGGGGGGTCGTGCCTGTAATGTGAATGCAGTTGTAGCATTGCACAGAAAATGGTGTCAGAGGGAGCGAGCCGGGGGGGGAGGGAGTCGTTTTGTAATGAAAACGTTCCCTGAATAGCCCATCTCACTCCATGGTGGCAAAATTCCCACAATCCTTCACCTCCAAATATTGACTTAATTCCAGGGACTTATGGGGACAGGGGTTTCATTTCCCATAAAAATAGGCAGCGATGCCAGATATAACCTGTTTGGTTTGGGCCTGAGCTCACAGCGTTATTGTGCTGTGCATGTCAGTGTGTGGGGCTTTAAAGGGATAGTTCTGAGCACATGCAATGGGGTTTTGTGGAAAATGTCTTACCTGCTGCAGACAGATGTTCGGAAAAATTGAGTTTATTTCTGGCCATGCTAATGAGCTAACAGTGGTCGATTATTTTAAATTTCCTTAGATGATCTTGTAGCCTGTGTTTCCGTTTATAAACGGGCAAAAACATTATTGTTCGCCTTCCCCGTTCAGAAGCAGGAAATACAAATGTAAAAATTTGAACCTTAATCATTATTAGAACAAAAGTCATTAAGTAAGCTTGTGTTGATATTTTAAGTTTTGAATAGATGATGTGACTTAAGTTCTGTTTTTAGTTTTTTTCTTTGTTCAAACACATTAAATTGCTTCTAACAGTTAAACAAAAAAACAAACCTAAACAGCTTTATATTTTTTAGTATTAGTTATGAAAAGCTCACAAAAACAGGAAACGCTGAAATAGCATGTTTAAAGATTAACGATTAAAAATTCCATGTAAAATAATTACATGAAATTTAGTTTTATTTAATTTATTTTTAAAAAAACTTCCAAATTGTGAATTATAAATTTAAAATTGCTTAAAATGTGATTATTACAATCGTCTAAAAAAAAAAAAAGCAGGATTTTAGATTTTGTCAGTAAAATCAAAGTTGGGACTTTGGCTCCCTCTTGTGGTCATTATTGCTCAGTCCACGATGATGCGCACAGATGGGTAATCCATTACTTTTCCTTACAGCCTGTCAATGATTGTCGATAACACCGATCCAAAGTTCAACACATACTGTACACTAAAAACACCTGCGAGGAAGATGATTAAAACAGGAGCAACATGTCGCTAAAAACATTTCCTCGCGGGCTTTTCCGTCTTTTACTGAACCCCGGTGGCATCGCCTCCAGGAGGCCGCTTTGTGTGCGACATGAGGCGGTTCCGCTGGGACGGGGCTCCTCCGCTCGGGGATACTACAACACCGGGAAAGCCAGGTATCCCGCTGCCGGCGGGGCGGCGCACCTCCGGGTGGTGGACCTCCGCAGCGACACGGTGACGAAGCCCGGGCCGGCGATGCGACAGGCCATGGCGGAGGCCGAGGTCGGGGACGACGTGATGGGGGAGGACCCGACAGTGAACGGTGAGAACTTAAGAGTTTATTGTTAAAACATCAGTGTTTCCAGTCTTTATTATCCATTTTCTAAATGAACATGATCTACAATTTAAAAATTCTGCAATATTTTTGTATTAAAAAAGATAAAGACAGTCATCAGAATGATCGCTTTTAGTTAATTTAGTTGATTTTAATGTTTTATCTGTTAAATTTGTCATTGGTTCTGATTGAGAACCTTGTAGACCACAGTCAATGTACGGCCCGCGGGCCAGAATTGGCCCTGGGATGATCTCCAACAGGCCTCGAACGTTAAAGGAAAAGATATATTTTTTAAATAATTTGGTGAAAATCTGCGTTTTATTGATGACACATTAGTAAACTGAAAATAAAGTGGAAATCCAACATATTGGACACATACAAGTAAAACCTTTGGATTCAAATAAGATATATTTTTGTGTAATTACATATGCAAACCAGATATTCCAACAGGGCCTTTTGCTTTTACCGAGCATGCTAAATATGCTACAGCTTGTTCAAGTAGAGTATAAAAGCCTGGTAATATTCTTCAGAAATATTTGCAAACTTGACTGAATGAGCAATAAAGAGCTTTAGGTTTAAAAACACAGACACAGCTTTGTATTTTGATCCTCGTTAAACAGAAATGATTGATTGATTACAGCTTCTTTTTTTTAAACGTTTTATTTCTGCAGACTTACAGAAGACTGCAGCTGAAATGTTCGGGATGGAGGCCGCCCTGTTCGTCCCCTCTGGAACCATGAGTAATCTCATCGCAGGTGAATTAAACTGTAATTTAAACTGGATGGATCACGTGAGGACGGCTGTAATGGAGTCTGTAATTCTTTGATCAGTGATGGTGCACTGCAGGGAGCGGGGCGACGAGATGATCGTGGGCGATCTGTCCCATATGCACATCTACGAACAAGGAGGTAGTGCACAGGTGAGTGTGCACGAGCATTGTCTCCAGGAGCGCTTTGCACTTCCAAGGGACTCGGTGTGCGTTTTATGTGTTGACGCAGCTGGCCGGTGTCCACGCCACCACGGTGACCACACGCCCCGACGGGACGTTTGATTTGAAGCAGCTGGAGTCGAAGGTTCGCCACGGATACCCAGACCCTCACTATCCCCGTTCACGCCTCGTCTGTGTGGAGAACACGCACAACATCCAGGGAGGACGCGTGCTGCCTCTGCACTTCCTGCAGGACGTGCGTGTTTTAAAGTTACCGCATTTTCTGCCGTACACGTTGCACCGCCCTATAAGTCGCATCAGTCCAAATATGTCTAATAAAGTGGAAAAATCCATAAATAAGTTACTTTGCCTTATACGTCGCATCTATCATGCGTCACCGCTGACAACCTGGAAATGTGGGCCAGTGTTGTGCCAAAAATCGATTGGCTGCCAAATGGTGGCCGTGGGAGTGTGCACGGGAGGACTTTAACAAGAATTTAACAAGATAACACTTAAAAACAATTATTTGTTTGATCAAAATTATAGTAAAGGTGTGTCTTAGTCTAACTTTTTCTTAATAAATGCACTTTGACGGTCAAATCAACTGATTCAGTTGCTCCAGGCAGATGAAGGTGTCAGGCCACGGCAAGCCAATTGTGTCATTAATAGCCACTTTTACCTATTACATAATACAACGGCATGCCATACTGCTCGAGTGCCATCTAGTGGCCGAAAATGGTAGTGTTCAATATTTTCAGTCAGAATGATTGATATGATGAATCATATCTCAGCCAGAAATTGGTTTATAAATATGGGAAAAAAATCCATAAATAAGTCGCAGGGCATGTAAATTATGCAAAAAGCCGCGACTTATAGGGCGAAAAATACAGTGTTTTGCAGTTGTGATAAATGCCTCTCTTCATCACACCTGGATGATTTGTGTCCATCTCTAAGGTCCGCTCTTTAGCTGATCAGCATGGTCTGTCAGTTCACATGGATGGAGCTCGGGTGATGAACGCCGCTGTGGCCCTGGGGGTGCCCGCATCCTCCATCCTGCAGCACGCACACACAGTCAGCGTCTGCCTCTCCAAGGTGGGTCTGAAAGTCATGAACACCAACACGAACCAAGACGACAAAGATCCAATCTAATGTTTGTCGATGTGATATAGGGTTTGGGTGCCCCGGTAGGTACCATGCTTGCTGGACCCCAGGACTTTATATCCAGAGCGGTGCGGTGCCGTAAAGCCCTAGGTGGGGGGATGCGTCAGTTGGGGATTATTGCAGCAGCTGGAAAGTTGGCTTTGCAAGAAATGGCAGGAAGACTAGAGGAAGATCACCGCAACGCCAAAACTTTCGCTCAAGGTGAGTCGCTCACCCTCCTTTAAGGTGTTAACTCTGTGGTCGCCATCCAACTCAACACTTTGTTTCTCCTCTGTTAGCTCTACTCGACCTCCACCCTGCTCTGTTCGCTCTGGACATGGCTGCTGTGGAAACCAACATCCTGCGTTTCCGAATTGAGGATTCCACTTTGAGCCCCCAGGAGTTTTGTGCCTGCATGGCTCAGGTTGGGGACGGGGAAGAAGCGTCTCTGGGGCAGGGCACACAGGTTCTCATGTACCCTCATTTTGACAACTCCGTTCGGGCCGTGTGGCATCTTGGGATATCGCCTGAAGACACCCAGCTGGCCATCCAGAAAATGCAGTTTGTGGCCTCTCAGCACTTCAAACAAAAAGCTGAGACCCGGTAAAAACATTGAAATCCAATTAATGTAGTGAAAACTGTGACATTCAAGGAGTGACTTTGTAAAGACTGACAGATGCCAATTCACACGGGACAAATACAACCAGTGACGCTTCAGATCCTTATTCACAAATTACAATAAAACTCCTGTTTACTTTCATTTATTTTTTGCACAATCTTCTGTGACCTACAGGTAAATAAATAAATAGGTTATACTATGACACTTCCTTGGTGAATAGTTTCAAATGAAAAATACTTTGTGTATCACTTTTTAAAGGTGCATCAAAACTATACAAATTTGGTGATACCTTAAAAATTGACGCGCTTCAGGAGCTCAGATTGCGTCTTTTGTTTAAGCTTGATAATAAATTCCTGGTCACAATGTACTGAAACATCCATTTTTTAAATTCTGAGTTACATATGAACCTAACATGCAGTGTGGGAGTGACACGTGTGCACAGGGAGAACATGCAAACTCCACACAAAAGCCCAGGCAGGAGGTGAACCTGCAACCTTGCTGTGAGGTGATGGCTCCAACAACTTTGCCACTGAAACATTTAAAGTAAAAAGGTTTTTAAATAGGATTTTGGATGTACAATCGCATATACTATGAACCAAGAAAGAAATACAACATTTTTCAGTCAGGTCATCAGGACCTGGATTATTGAGCATAGTTGCAAAAAAAAAAAAAAAGTTTCCTGACCCATGTAGCCACCAGGTGGCGCCACCAAACCGGATGCTCCCAACGACGGGCTCGAGGTAGAAACTGATGAATAAAACTGCGTTTTTCATTTTTTTTTTTATCGCTAGCATCCGTATCTTTGTAAAACAAATTAGCTTACAGTGACAGATGTTTCAATAAAAGATCAAAATAATCTGGCAGCGGTGGGATTCGAACCCACGCCATCGAAATGACTGGAGCCTAAATCCAGCGCCTTAGACCACTCGGCCACGCTACCGTCAACACTAGGTGTCAACACTGATCAATATAAAGAAAAAACTCCACACAGCTTTCCAATGTTTTTATTTACTGTACATTTTATACCCGCTAATGACAATAAATTTATTATACATAATTAGAAATGTATGCATTTACATAGGAAGCTAATTATTCGCTTTACACAATGTCCACTAAAGTTACAGCTCCATAACAGCTTTAATGATTGCACCACTTATAAAATAAAGACACGAACCTTATATTGTAAATTATCAACTAAGTTCTGGAATTATGCTATGGTTCACGAGAACTAATGAAAAATAAAATCACGTTTGCTTTCAAGGCTAACTGTTGCTCAGTCTGAAGCGGTAAAGTAACGTCGGCGCATTTAAAACGCTTACTGCTGAGCAATAAAAGTCAAATGTAAATACTGCAAACTTAGCTAAACTGTCTAATAAATAACGAACACGCTGGCGGGGGGCTTGGAAAGTTACTGGTGAACGTCCCAGTTTTGTCACGAGGTTTAAACCGTTCGCTGATGCTGGAACATGCTGTTATTGCAAAATGCACCTTTTTTTTTTTTTTGTCTTCCTGCAATTTTAATATTGTATATGTACGTTCGTATAAATAACGTCTTGTTTGGATCGGATTGTCTTGGATCTGCAAGTTCAAATTTCGACATTTCCGTGGAGGCGACATTTCCGACATCATTGAAGGCAGCAGGGATGCAGTGGGCGTGGTCACAGAAAAGAACACAGGGATGCAGTGGGCGTGGCCACAGAAAAGAACATCGTGGTACGTGCGGAGGAGCGCCATCGTGGTGGAGGACACTTGACGTCGCGAACGGTTTGAGTACTCGCGCTCGCTGCCAAACACGTCCCCGGACCTACAGGGTGCAGCGGAGAACGCACTCCGCCACTATGGGAGGAGTTTTTAAAGCGCCGCTCGTGCTCTCTCTTCTGTTTGTCACCGAACTGAATAAGCTTTGAGAAGGAGACAAAACGGAGCAGGGCGGATAAACTGTCAGTGATTCAAGAGCATCGTATCAGGTCGGTAGCTCCGTCCACCAGGAAGCATTTTGTTTAGAAAATATCAACTGTGTTACTGTAAACATGGCTGCTGCATTATGATTGGGTCTGTATTATTGAGACACATTTAATTACTGATTCCATGTAAACTCTTTGGCTGATGATGATGATGATAATCCATCTATAACAATGACCTTTTCTCATGTCATATGTGCAGCCATGATGAATTGTTTTGATCATGTATTAAGATGGCTGCCACACATCAAACCCACATCATGTGGTTCTGCTTTCCTCACCACCTGGCTCTTAACTGTGATGCTCTCGCCTCCTCTCCCTGTGTACAAAACAACAGCAGGGCATCATGGATGACGACCTGATGTTCAGCATGGAGGAGGAAGACAGTGCCAGGAGACCCTCCTCTTCCTCCTCCCAGCACAGCAGTGTGAAGCAGCGAGCTTCCTCCCTCAGCGACGCCAATGCCAGCGACGACGAAGACGACGAAGACAACTTCATCTCCCCCATCCTGGGCGACTCCGCCAAGGAAGTCTGCAACTACCTGAAAGAGCTCGTTTACTCGAGGCAGCTGTCAAACTCTCTTCCCAAGAACAACTTTTTGTTCAGGGTGAGCACAAGCGTCAAACGCTCATAATAACCATAATAATAGTAATATTAACTATATTCGTGTCCCTTATTTGTACAGTGTTTATGAATAAGGTTCAATGTGTTCGCTCTGCAGGGTGAATAATGGCGAGCGTCAAAAATCGGCTATAAAAACAAGATCCTAACAATATGTCGGCGACGTACATGTTTGCGTAAGTTGACGTCGCCTGGCATCTTCGGTGCTAGCCCCGTCCAGCCAGTACGATACAATATTTATGTCTAATTTTTGTATTATTACTTATTATTGTGTAATAACGCACTTGTTCGATCCCGATTCTTTGCTGCTTTCAAGTTAGCGTTAGCGGCTTCTGCACAAACGGCCCGCTTTTCGCCTCGTCATCCAGCCGAACTTTTTTTATTTTTATTTTCGAGTGGCGAGAATTCTGCGTTCTTCTGTCTGTCAGTGCGCTCGGGATCAAACTGAAAAGGCAGAATGGAAGATGTAGTTTATTGGCTGGGCGGGGCTAACACCGAAAGCGTCAGGCGTCATCAACATAAACAAGGCGATTAATAATAAAAACAATTAGTGTTTTTACAATCGTGATTTTTATATCTGATGCAAATGTCTTATCAAACGAGTTACTAGTCGCTACTTCTTGGAAGCTAGTTATTTATGCTAGCTTCTCTGTTCCAGGCCTCGGATAGCTTCCTGCACTTATCTGTGCTGCCTTAAGCAGATGTTAGTGGTACAATGGACCAAACCTCTGTTAGTCAGGTGGGCGGGGACATTTGTAAAAATTAAAATTCTTATTAATGCATACTTTTGCATATATAAGCTGTCTACATGCTTTTTAAAAAATTTTTAAATACTATATTGCTTAAAAATATAGTTTCCTCGTATGATTTATTGTGGGGGACAATCTGTTTTTCCAAAATTGGTTGAGGGGTCTGGGCCCCGCTGACTCCCCCGGTATTTCCGCCCATGGTAAGCAGTGGAAAAACCAGGAAAAATGAGTTAAATCACCTAATGGGAAGTAAAAACAGCGAACCATCGTGATCGTCCAGTTCTGCAGTTTTCTATTCGAATCAAATTTGCTTTGTTTCGAGCATGCCTGCACACATGCACGTGTGTTACTTGCGTGCGCGCGTGCGCTCGGTGTCTGTTTACCGAAGCTGGCCGCTCGCCTTTTAAACGAACTCATTTGACAAGAACAGGAAGTACCAGAGGGTGGCTTTCGCCTCGTGAGTTCTCTGTGTAAACAAGTGCGCTCAGCCTCTGCAGATCAGCATACCAGCCCGATTCTGTGCACGCTGCTGCTTATCAGAAACGCCGTGCACGGGCCGGTTGTTTTCCAGATGAACGGTCTTTTGTGTTTGTGTTGTTGTTTCAAGCAGTTGATGTTGTTGATGCTAACTGATGGAAATCCTCCGTTTTCTTTACCCTTTTTTTTAATAGCATGAAATCGAGCCAGAGCGTCGAACGTACACTGTTTTGTCTGAGAGTGCACGGGTATGTTCCTGCTCAGATTACGTTTAACCTTCTCCCTCTTTCCCGATGATCGTCTCTGCCTCCATTCTTCATTCCCCACTCTGTAATTTGCTGTCCTCTGCTTTGGTATGTCCTTCACTCACAACAATGTCCCATCACTCCTGAAAGCAACCCTTATACATCGTCCCTGAAAGGCAACAAATGGCCATATTGTTGTTATGGGTGCGTCGTAGTGTCTGTTAACAACATATCTCATGAACCACCAGACCTATTTTAATGAAACTGCCAGCAAATAATCAATGCACATACATCTACAACTGATAAAAGTTTGAAATTGACCCAATCCAAGATGGCTGCCACAGCCAGTTAACATTAAGAAATGCAAAAGCTGCTATAAGTGTGAGTTTTTTTCCCTGCACATGCTCTGAGCACTGCACAGTGCACGTCTTTGTTTAAATGCTTCACTTTAATTATTGGAGTCAACCATGTTTGTTAGCAAAATATCTCATGAAAAACTGGTTTTAAAGAAACTTTCAAAATGATTGCAGCCGATGAACTTTTGCACTTAATGTATTGACAATGTATTTGTTTTACAAAACTGTTTTTGTTAACATTTTCACCTTTAAAAACTTTTATTATTAATATTATTATTATTATTTCAGGAACAATGGACTTGCTTTCCATTTGTTTCTAGTCTCAGCACCGAGCCGTAACATTTCCGACTCCACGTTTGACGCGGCCTGCGTAACGTGACCCTCTCAGTTTAAAAATAAATCTAATAAATATCATTTCTTTGTGTAAATCAGCCACTCCAAATATAAACGCTTGACAGTCGGTGCTGAAATACGAGCGAGACGTGCTGCTGCACGGCGCAGAACGTGTCCAAACTTGGTCAGATTTAGATTACTGTACTCGTGACGCAAATGCTAACACTCTTGTTTCAAAAACATGCAACTTAGTCTCATGACGCATGTTCATTTGGAACCAGCTGTACAACTATTACCTCTGCACACCCCCTGTTTACCCCCCCACCCCCATTTTATTATCATTTTTTGCATGAATCCTCACTCATAGCTGGTTAAATGCAAATAATTCAAAGAATTTTCGGTGCAAAAGCTTCACATTTTATGCACATTATAATTATCTGCTTGCTTTGAGGAAAAGAAAGAGCAAAAACATGTAAGGAATTACATTTTTTTGTGCAAATTAACCAGCTTTGCAAAGAAACAACCCTCCATCTTAGTTCTGTCATACCTGAATAGACTACCGTATTTTTTGGACCACAAGGCGCACTTGAATTTTCTCAAAAATCGACAGTGAACCTTATAATCTAGTGCACCTTATGAATTAATTCTGGTTGTGCTTATTGACCTCGAACCGACTTTATGTGGTACACGGCGCTCAAAAATCTGTCAAAATGAACTTATTTTGCTTATAGTCCGGAAAATACGGTAGTTCTTTTTGATCTTTTGGAATGAAAATGACTGACAGTGAAAAGGATCTGCGTTGGGTTTTGTGACAGGCGGCATGGATCCATGCCATCGAAAAGGCCCGAGCCATGCCGGACCCTTGGGCGCAGTTTCACCTGGAGGAGATAGCGACAGAACCGTGCATTCGCTACAGGTATGAGCGATTTTAAAGTGTTTTTCCAAAATATTGTACTTTCATCACTTGTTTTTTTTTTTTTTTAAAACCACTTGCAGTAACATCCTAATATTCTATCAGTGGATAAAAGTCCAAATCAGTAATATCTGCAAACATATTCAGCCAGACGTTTGAATCCTTGTTTTCGTAACAGCTTGTGGGTGTGTTCCATGAAAACTTGACCTTTGTGTCAATGCAAAAAAAAAAAAAAAAGTTAGCAGTTGATTTAATGAGTGTCTCTGCACTTCTCAGCTTGTTTACACATTCAGTGCAATCGATACGGATAGATTAGTCCCCAAGGCTTCACTTCGGCTCTGCTGTGCATGCGTCCATGTATTGGTTTTGGCAAACACGACCGCGCCGTCCAGCGAGGACATAACGCCGCTTTTGACTCTTGTTTTTATCTCACAACTGAGGGTGCGCCCAGGTATTACAGCCAACTTGGTGGCTAAAATAAACAAACACGCCTCCTAAATACTCTGTGGCGTCAAAAACACACAAGTTAAGGTCCGAGTGTGAGCAAAGCGCTCGATGACGGCGAGGTCCTGTTACATAAGAGGGGGAGGAGGAGGGATGGTCAGAGGCTGGGATTTGCCCTGCTGCGCTCGTTCTGAGGGCTAAATTTACCTCGTGTGTAACCTCACCCCTCTGTGCACTCCTGAAAGCTGTGGTACTCCGTGTACTCGACTTAAAGTGTCAGCAGAAAGAGCAGTGAGGATTGGATATTGGAAAGTCCTTTTCTAGCCTGGATGTTCGGAAAACAAGCTCTTGGCAACGACTGTCAAATGGTGGATAGAAAATGTGTCGTTTATTAACTCGGGACGCGCACGCCCTTCCAATCCAAACAGATCCACTGACCCCGAGAAATAATATACCACTCTGCTACGCAACCTCATTGTTCAGTTCTCTTGTTTTTCCGTCCGCAGGAAACCAAATGGTTTTTGCGGCTCCCTGATTTGAATAGATAACGAGTTGTGGATCAACCCTTTCACTTGGCAAACAAATGAGACAGAGTCCTGGTGCTCGTTTTAGTTTGAGACGTCAGTAAGGAAGAGGGAAAACAGTGGGTCTGACAAGGGGAACTAGGTCAGTGGTGTGACGAGCCTGCTCGAGTGGTTTAACAGGTGGAAAAAGCTCAGAGTTTAGCCGCTCTGCTTGCAAAGACACGCATTTATAGAGCTGTGATACTAATTAGAAAGACAATTAACACCAAAATGTGACATGAAAATAAAATAAATTCATAGTTTTTAATAAAAAAATGTGTCTTATTATTTATGTGCAGGAACAATGTTTAATATAGTTTTTACACTCTAAGTTAGTGTCAGCATTTGAGACCAAAAATCAATTGAAAACTTAAATTTTTTGTAAAAAAAATAAACAAATAAAGCACATTTGGCTTAAAAATAGCGTTTTGCAATAAATTCCCACGTTATTGCTACTATTCTGGTCAACTTAAGATTTCACTTTTGTTTATAGTTTAAAAATAATTAGTTTTGTTAAGACTGTCCCACAGTTTTTTAATTCTAGTTCCTACTTCCTCTTTAAGACACACCCCCTGAAAGCTGTTTCCTGATTGGCTGAAGTTTGGAAGCCTGCTGTTTGTCAACACCAAGTCCTTATTAGCTGACGGACAATACTTTCTTTTACTCTGAAATTAGCACATAAAGTTTGTTTTGATTACCTTTCATCACACCAACACAGAACTACTTTATTTACATTAATTTGTTTTATGATTCATCCCTTTGAAAAAAAACAGTTCAGGATCAATAACGTTCTCTTATCTTAGTAAAGAGTCTAAACTAGCATCAATTTGTTTACAGTCTTATTGATCTTTTAGCATGTGTAATATGTGTAAATACTGTGTGTTTATTTAATAGAAAAATTTTGATTTTCTTTTTTTTATGACGTGACGTTCGTATAAATAATAAATACAAACATGTCAACTTAATATTAAGTTTGAACTATTTTCTGCAAAATGCAGGGTGAACCCTGAGGGCTGAATGACTTTGTTAAAGAAGCTGAAACTGAGTTGTAAAAGCTAAAAGAGGCAGAACACGAGCTAAAAGCTAGAAGAATTGTAACACTAGCTAAAGCTAAAAGAAGCAGAACACTATTTAAAAGCCAAAAGAACTCTAGATTAAAACTAAAATGAACATAAAAGCTAAAAAAGGCAGAACATGAGCTAAAAGCATCGCAACACTAGCCAAATCTAAAAGCAGAACATTATTTAAAAGTTCAGAGGCAGAACACTACCTAAAAGCTAAAATAATTGTAACTAGTTAAATGCTATAAGCATTGTAACACTAGATTAAAACTAAAATAATCATTAAAGCTAAAAGAGGCGGAACACGAGCTAAAAGCTAAAATAATTGTAACATTAGCTAAAGCTTAAAGAAGCAGAAAACTTTAAAAGTTCAGAGGCAGAACACAAGCTAAAAGCAAAAAGAAACAC